ATTAATAATTAATTAATTAATTAATATTTAATAAATTGATAAGGTTACATAATAATAAGATAATAATAATAAGAGTAATAATAATACAAGCCTCATCAATATGATCGATACGCTTTTAATATGAAATATGCTAAAATGGTTTAATAATATATGTGACTTTAGGTCATATAATAAGCTTGATTATTACTGTTAATAATCAGAATATTTAATTATTATTAAATAATAATTTTATTTGCTGAATTGAAATATTTGTGGAAAAACCTGCTGCTTACTATCCAGCATTTGCAGAAACTACACAAGGCCTTAACAGAACATCATGTACAATATTTATTAGCTATAAAGAGTGTTAGATATAGCCATATCACATGTAAAATATACATTTCTCTCTATGATTTTTCTTCTCTATGATGTTTCCTTTAATATTGGGTTATAAGGTGTTCATGAGATTCGTGTATGGGGATGTGTATAGTATTATTCACTAGGTCGGTCACAATAATCAATATATGGACTTCTCATGGACACATGGAAGTGACCTCAGTCATTTCTGGTGATGCAAAATATATGGCCTGTACATAAAAACCAATTCCAGCAACGTCTCTATCTCTATAGGAGGTGTCAGTGTCTGTATGGTTAATAAAACACTGCAGTATTTACTGTAAATGACTATAACATACCTGTCAACATTGGGATGTGAAAATAAGGGATATGCCCACCATAATAAGGGATTGCCCCCCACCCCCCCAAAAAAATCCCGAAATTACATTTGGAGCTGTTTCATTGTAAATAAACCGTTAGATGGTCAGTACTATGATTTAAATTATTATTAACAAAAGAAAAATAAATATATACATTAGCAGCAAATACATTAGCGAACAGTTCAGCTTAATAAAATTAACTGTTAAAATGAAACGGAATCAAGCTATCAATCTCATTATCCGTTACTCCACTCATTAGCCGTTCTCTCACACATTCTGATTAAAGAGCAACCAATGAATCTCTCATTTATTAAGATTTTTTTATTACATTAAATAAGAGGTGTCCCTTTAAAAATACAAACATCTAATGTTATAATGAAAGCATTCGACTGCTTTCCTAACTTTTTATGCTCATTTAAGACGAAATTAGTTGTGTTTGAAAAAAAAAACCCACTAAGATCGACATCTTCATATGTTATTATTATTAATTATGTGTGTTTGTCTGTTCAAACACGCACCCAAAAGCCAGACTTTCTCTCCGCTTCCAATCGCGTGTACAGAATCTGTTTGGGAAACAGCTTCTGTTTATCACTATGGAGCGCGTCAGCTGACAGTCATGGACCATTAAGGGATGGGCGACGGCACCTGTAATCAAAAGCATCCCTCTTATTTTATATTAATTAATTAATAATAAATGAAGACAAATTTTCAGATTAATCTTATAACTTTTGACATTATGTATGATTTGACAGTTGATTTTGATAAAAATAAAAACAAATCTAAACAGTTACATCTACATGAACACTTTCGGCTGTGGGACTGCATGTTATTGTGTTAAATGATTTTGAATTAAACAATAACAATATTATATTCGTTTAAAACGCAAAATAATGTTTTTTAACAAAACATATTTATTTATTTTTATTATTTGAAACTTTTAATAAGGATAATTTTTAAAAATAGTTTTGGCACAACGGCGCCCCCCCATGTGTGGCGCCCCTATGCGCCGCATATACTGCATACCCCCTTGTTGCGCCACTGATCAAAAGGAAATGGAATCGCGCCGTTTTTAATATTTATAAGTGTTTTCATTCCTAAACAAACTGAAAGCACAGAAGACTCACGTTTTAGAGCAAGGGGCGACCCCTGGTGGTTCGGCGGTATGGGTTGCGTATAGGGAGGCTGTTCAGAGAAAGACTGAAAATTCGGGAGAAATACGGGAAAATACCTTTACGGGATGATAGCGGGATAGAACTGTAAAATATAGGAGTATCCCGGGAAAAACGGGAGGGTTGACAGGTATGCTATCATACATTTTCATGTGGCAGTCTGACAGCTGAAAATAGATCTGCTAGCAGATATCACAGCCTCTGTTACTCTATACCTTGCATTTTTGTGTTAACGTTTAATAATATTCACTTGGGAGACGTGTTTTCTCTTTCTGATTCCAATGGCTCATTATTAAACCGTTAAAAAGACTATAATTCAATATTCTTCATCATAAAATATGATGTGCTCTTTGAAAGAGTGTACTTGCATTGTGATGATATTATATTGTCACTCTGGCATTATATACTGATAAAGTGGTCAATAATATCATTTATCGCAATTTACTTTGGTGCAATATATCCTATAACAAAAACTAGATATCATGACAGACCCATTGTTTACCGTCTGACTTGTACATTTCTGATGTTTTTACATTTGTGTGTGTGTGTGTGTGTGTGTGTGTGTGTGTGTGTGTGTGTGTGTGTGTGTGTGTGTGTGTGTGTGTTCAGAAGCGACAGGAGTTCTTCAGGTCAGAGCTCTGAAAGACTTCTGGAATCTTCACGACCCCACAGCCCTCACCATACGGGCCGGAGACGTCATCACGGTACAGACGCTTGCACTACACAATCTTAATATAGGGTCGGTGTGTGTTTGTGTGCTGCACTTGCACTGCACAACCTCAAAGGGACAGTTCGCCGCACAAAACAAAAGTTCTGTCATTATTTTATCATCCTTTACTCGATTCAAACCTGTAGGAGTTTCTTTCTTCTGTTGAACACAAAAGAAGATACTTTGAAGAATGCTGAAAACTGGTCATTAGTTTTTTTTTTTCTAATAAGGAAGTGAATGGTTACCGGTTTTTAGCATTCTTCAAAAACTCTTCTTTTGTGTTCAGCAGAGGAAAGAAACTCATAAAGGTTTGAAACCCCTGTAAATCCTGAGTCATTTTTCATTTTTGGGTGGACTAGTGCTATTTAGAGTCACAAGGAAAAGTAGCAGACACTGAAATGCATGCGGTCATGGTAATTAGGGGAAGAAACACTCAAAGCTCTTTTGTGTTTTGTAGTTTTATTAAAACATCCATGTTTGAAAGAAATACACACGTAGGGCTCTATTTTAATGATCTAGGCTCAAAGTCTAAAGCACAGGTGTCAAATCCAGTTGCTGGAGGGCCGCAGCTCTGCGCAGTTTAGTTTCAACCCTAATTAAACACACCTGATCAAACTAATCATGCCCTTCAGGTTTGTTCGAGACCTACAGGTGAGTGTGTTGGGGCAGGGTTGGAACTAAACTGTGCAGAGCAGCGGCCCTCCAGGAACTGCAATTGACACCTGTGGTCTAAAGCATTAAGGGCGTGTCTGAATCTACTTTAGGGCAGCACGGTGGCGCAGTGGGTAGCACAATCGCCTCATAGCAAGAAGGTCACTGGTTTGAGCCCCTGCTTGGTCAGTTGACATTTCTTTGTTGAGTTTGCATGTTCTCTCCGTGTTGGTGTGGGTTTCCTACAAGTGCTCCGGTTTCCCTTACAGTCCAAACACATGAACATGAACTGGTGAACTAAATTGTCTGTAGTCTATGTGTATGAATGAGTGTGTATGGATGTTTCCCAGTGAAGGGTTGCATCTGGAAAGGCATCTGCTGCGTAAAACATATGCTGGATAAGTTGGCAGTTCATTCCATTGTGGTGACCCCTAATTAATAAAGGGACTAAGGGTGCTTTCACACCTACACTTTTGTTTCGGAACGTATCTCGTTTGCCCAGTTAGCGCGGTTCGTTTGGCATATGTGAACAGGGCAATCGCGCTCTGTTCCGCGCCAAAGTAATCGCTCCGAGATCGCTTGAATGAGGTGGTCTCGGCTCGATTGAAACGAACCCTGGAGCGGTTTGATTGCAGTGAGAAAGCGATCCGATCCGAGCGCGGTTATATCACAGTGTTTTATGGATATGTAATAGGCTTACGGCTATATGAAGAGAGAATTATGAGCATGGCGGGAAGTTTCGCGAGTCTCCGGATGCCCGCAAACGAGTGATGAACTCCTGGTAATCTGGCGTCTCCCTCCCGGTCCTCAAATAGGCATCGTCGCGCACCCTTCTCACCCCTCCCCACTGCATCTGTCCTCAGACACGTCGTGCATGCGCACCCTGTCAATCACCACCAAACCACCACCTCTCCTGACAGCTGAGCGGGACTCTGCAAAACCCTGATACTCTGACCAATGTAAGGAGAGTTTACTCGCACATGACTTGTTTTAGCTCTTTTGGTCCGATTAGAAACTTTGCAGTGTGAAAGTGAACCGCTCCAAGAGCAAAGAGCAACAATGTAACATTTGTAATCTCTGTTTCAAACAACTGAATCGATTCACAGGTGTGAAAACTCCCTTAGCCAAAAAGAAAATGAATGAATAAATGAATGAATCCACTTGTGCTATTTCAAAGCATGGATAAATACGCTCTGCGCCCCGGCACATGGTCTAACAGGGTTGGGCTTATTCTCTTTATGAGTTCTGGGTGTGTTTTGAGCATAACCTGCATTAAACCAATCATTG